TTTGTAAGAATTAGACGACCGTAAGCGGTCATGAAAGAGGATTCGGGAATATAAACAGCTAACAGAGAGGAGCCGTCGTGGTCGTGCAGACTAAGTGTCGGATTGGTAGACGAGGGATCCCGAGTTCAAATCCAGTCGGTCTCCGTTAATTTTTTCCGAATCTAATAGATATCTTTCAATTTTATTATATGTACACGCTGTGTGTTTCTTTTCCCTTAAATTGCGAATATTTAAGATGCAATCAAAATAAATTCCATTTTCCGTTTTTCGTAGCGTTTTTTATGCTTCCCCTTTTTTTCTGATTTTTATTTATATATATTTATTAGTATAATTATATATCCGCATTGTTTTTAGAAAAAAGATCATATATACAAACATCATATAAAAAAAATTATATATCAGAAGATAAAGGGACGCGAAGTTTTATTCTCTCTCTTTTACTTAGAGACGATTCTCTTTTAAATTAAAATCTTTAATTAAAATTGATAAACTTTCCTCCCTTTTCTAAATTGTACAAATATATTATTTATCTTTTCAAAACTGTAAATAAGAATTTTATTTCTCATCAAAATTGATTTTCTCTCTATTTCACAGGCAATTAAATAGACAATTATTATAATCAAATGAATAATTATTATTCTTGAAGAAAAACGCAGAGATCGATCTCCTCGTGATTAATATTAAATAAAACGAAAAGTAAGAAAAAAATATGCCCAATCCAATGAGGTAAAATCAACAACTTCGTACGCCCATGTTGCTTATTTCTTCGCTTTTCTCTCGGTACACCCTGTAGACATTGTTAATTGGTCATCGTTGTTGCAGCTGACAGAGATTACCAGGGGATATATCGTTTGTACTACGGTACGTTGCAGCTTTTGCGGCGAACTCGCATCGTTGACGACGATCCTATTGAATGAGAAACGTGCGCGTGCACGATGACACTTTGGCAGTGATCGCAACCGGCGCCGCGCCACGACATGGCGACCGTCAAAGTGACGGAGCAGAAGGTTATACTGTGCGGCGAGTACGGCGTCGGCAAGACGTCGATATTCCGGCGCTTCGCCAACAACACTTTCGTCGCCAGCAGCGATCGCAAGTCGACTCTGGGCCTCGACAACATCGACAAGGATTACGTCGTCGAGGACAGACGAATACGCGTGAGTGTCGACGTTTCGTAGTCTTCTGCCAGGAAGTCAACTCACTCCTCGCAAAGTGGGGAGTGTGATCTCTCTGGAAAATTTTGCTTTATTCCCCCTCTCTTGAGGGTTCTTCTTCTTCCTTTATTAATTGTTGAAATAAAATCACGTCCATCACACATATAATTCTTATTTTATTAACCTTCTCTAGTTCTCGAATTGATGACTGAATATAGTAAATGTGTAAATGTCAGAGCATCTGGTTTGTAAATATTATGCAATAAATTGAATTTATATGGTACATTAAAGGCAAGACTTTAAATTTTGTATTGAGTTGTTTTATTTAATTAATGCTCATATAATTTATATATTAAATGTATGATTCTTAGAATACTCACACTCAATGTTTTGCATCCTTCATTTTTCTCAGCTGCAGCTATGGGACACTGGCGGCATGGAAAGAGTGGCGTCTGTTACATCAAGTTATTACAAGTTTGCAGAAGCTGCCATTTTGGTATTTGCCCTGGATAATTCTACATCGTTTCATTTATTATCTCAACATTTACTTGACATAGTTACATATGCAGAGAATGCAAAAATATTTCTTTGTGGAAACAAAAGTGACTTGGAGAGTGTTGCGCCGCAAGTCACAGATGCAGAAATGGAGCAATTCTGGTAATTGTATAACTCTTGATAATTTTCTCACGATTGGCGTATGCTATTTTTGAATAACAAATTAAAAAACTAAATCTTCTAGCGAACAGTGTCACAATCTGATTTCGGGAATATACAAAACATCGTGCAAAACTGGCGAAGGCGTGAACGAGATGTTTGAGGACATAGCGCAACATCTAGTCGAAGCCAATCGCTCGCGAATGGAGCTTCACGAGATGGATAAGGATCGATTCAAAATCTCATACGTCGACGAAGCAGCTGATCCATCATGTTTGTGCTAATCTGTGATTAATACTCGCGAACATGCATCTCTTTAAGAATCTCTCAAGATTCAATGCGAATTGTAAAAGAAATATAAGGAGAAATCGAGTGAAACCTTTTACATCGAACATGCGTTATCACACGTGACTTTCCTATGAGGGAATGTCGCGTTCTGCGGAAAGAAGAGAATTCATGAACGATACACGTACATATACGTACATATACACAAGTTGCGTGCCACGATCGGATCAGGTTTTAAGATATGCGATGGCAAAAACTTTCTCGAATGAAAATTTATTACACGCTGCGAAATTATATCTTAATCGACTAGGCTTGATCTATTAAAGATCTACGATCGATATTACATTCTACATTTCATCAATATACATATTATGTATACTTAAGTTTATAAAGATTACACGATAACAAAAGGCACTAGTGCTGACTCCATTTGATACTCTTCAAATCGATACCATCCTGCACCATTTCCCACAACGGACTGCAAAAGAACAAGGATATTAAAATTTCGATATACGTCCTCGCGTACATCGTCGTGGCTAATAGATAACGACAGAGAAATCGGTACGAAACGTCCAACGATAAAGTCGTTCCTTCCGTGAAACGAAATTACACAAATCGTTTCAAATTGTTCATGCCAAAGTATAATGTATACAAAAGTCTAAAGTAGATCTTCTCTATCATGTATCACATTCTTGAAATAAATATTTGTACGAAAATTGGTGAACATTACCTCATTTCCCGAAGCCGCTTCACTTGCTCTATCGTACTATTCGCTGTGTAATCGATTTCTTCGAACGTTGTAAATCGTCCGATGCCGAACCTAAGTAGACAAATCGCAAATATATCAACCACTAGTACTATTGATAATTGACGAGATTCCTTTATTTTAAAATATACCTGATACTGGAATGGGCCAAATCTTCTGAAGCACCGATCGCTCTTAGCACATAGCTGGGCTCCAAGCTTGCGCTGGTGCAAGCCGAACCACTGCTCAACGCCACGTTCTTTAAAGCCATTAATAAAGACTCACCCTCGACGCACGCAAATGACAGATTTACGCAGCCGGGATACCAAGCCACGGGATCACCGTTTCGCACGACTTGCGGCAAATTCGACATTATCTTTTCGATTAGGTGATTCGACAGTGTGTTGATGTATCTGTGATCATACTGAAAAATACAGTATGGATTTTAATATCTATTCAAATTTAGTCGCATGCGGCGAAACTTTGTTTCACCTACGTCCATTTCCGTCTTCGCTAACTCGCAAGCGGCACCCAGCCCGACAGCTAAGGGTGCCGGTATCGTACCGCTTCTCATCCCCCTCTCTTGTCCACCACCGCTTTGGATCGGCTCTACGCGCACCCGCGGCCTTCTTCTGACATACAAGGCTCCAATACCTTGATGCATAATTAGCAAAATAAAGCTTTTATAGATATATACTTTATAGATATATACTTTTTTATGAATATAGAATAATTTTTATAACTTTTAAGAAACAATATATAGAAAAGAAATAAATTATTATTATCTTCTTTTAAAATACTAAATTATATAGTTTATATAATAAATTACCTTTTGGGCCATATAACTTATGACCACTAATAGACAAAAGATCGATATTCATGGCATTAACATCAATTGGTACTTTGCCTATAGCTTGGGCAGCATCCGTATGAAAAAATACCTTTTTCTTCCTGTATAATTTAAGAGAATTGAAAATATATATGAGAAATATATATATAATTATAATGTGGAATAATTGTAGCATTAGTCTTAATATTCACTTGCAAATAGTGCCAATTTCTTCAATGGGCTGCTTAACGCCAATCTCGTTATTTACCATCATTACAGAAACCAGCGATGTGGTTGGTCTAATAGCCGCTTCCAATTCACTAAGGTCGATAAGACCATTTGATTTAACAGAAATATATGTTACGTCAAATTCTTCTGCTTCTAAAGCTCTACATGAATCCAATACACACTTGTGTTCCTAGAAACAAACAGTCTTTTGTGCATGTTCACATTTATTAAAAAAACAAATTATTGCAAAAATTTCTCACTGTCTGGGTCGTCACAATGTGATTTTTCTTGGATTTGTAGAACCTTGCTACACCTTTTATGGCGATGTTATTACACTCTGTCGCTCCAGATGTAAATATTATCTCCTTCTGTTCTGCTCCGATTAGATCTGCAATTTGCTATTGCAGACAAAAAAAATTTTATAATCAAGTAAAAAATACGAAAAAATTTGTAATTTCAAAATATCAACCTGACGGGCATGCTCAACTGCTGCTTCTGTTTCCCAGCCATACATGTGAGTTCTGGAATGTGGGTTGCCATGATATACTGTCAGGTATGGCATCATCTTATCTAACACTCGTGGATCCTAGTGATTCAATATTTTGTATATTATTTTTATATTTTTATCTAGATTGCACCATATGACATTATACCTCAGACTTACCAGTGGAGTAGTGGCTTGAGCGTCCAAATAAAGAGCTCTACCCTCCATCGGACCTTTCTTGTATTCTTCTGTGATTGGAGCTGCAATATACAAATTGTTTTTTTTTCTTTTTGTGAGAATATTTCTGGCTACAATAAATTATACAGTATGTTTACATCTAGATTTTTTAACGCATTCAATTTATATCTATATTATATTTCCTATCCTCGCAATAAAGTGGATATCAATTTTCTCTTCGTCATCTTCGGAATAAAAATTTTATCATCAGTTATAAAATTTTTCAATGATACTTACATTCATATTCGGTGACTTCTGATAGTCGCTGGCCACAAGTATGCAGACTGCGATCCTTCGCGCGATGCAGCGCGAGGATCAAACACCTCGTCGATCGAAACATCTTAATCGACGTCTAGAATTGTTTCTCATAAAAATGAACCACACATTCCAAGAGCTCCCATGTGCTAACCTCAAAACCGTTTCACAACACCCAACTGCGCTGTCAAGAGTAACGAAATGAAGTGAGCAACGAATGAAGCAGCAATTCGAACGTCTAGTGATTTTCTTGCGTGTTAGCTGCGAGATAAAAAGTTTCTCACGAAAGTCCCTATCGAAGATCCAATCGACACGTTCAAAGTTAATAAACCGTGAAATTGCGCAAGCATGACAAATGCAAATTTAATCAATTCTTCAGAAAAAAGTTTAATATGGATATTTTTATATTTACTGATATAGATTAACTTTAAGTAATTTCAATTACTTTCGGTTTAATATATCCTTTAGTTTTAAGAATTAAAAAAGATAAACAGTGAATTAAATCGAGATTAAAGTTAATCTACATCGATAAAAATGGATATTAGTGTATTTTGTCGTTTTTCATCTTTCAACGCTTCTTTTTAATATAGTTTTTTTTATTGAAATAATACAACATAGAAAAAAAACAATAAAATGATTTTGTATAATATCACAAGGCATGTTGCATGTAAACTGCTTGTCATATATAAAGCAGAATTACCCTAAGTTTTTTTTTCTGGATTATCTTGGTATAACGGTATATTAAATAAAAAAAAAACGCAATATGACATTGCGATATGTCACATGAAATCATTTAAAATAGAGATAGCAAAACTGAATTAGGACTCATGTCCAATCATATCCTGCTACATGTTCCAACCATGCTCCTGCGACTACCTGGTGGACACATCCCCTGGGGAATGGTCGTTAGTATCTGGAAGGGCGCAGTGTTTACTGGTATACATTCCAACTGGAAGGTGGTCTCATTCACGCCTAACACGCCTGTGGGTGCACACGGGCCACCTATGGTTCTGAGAGGATAACATGTGCCGTTGTAAGGTACTACACCATCCTCTAGGCAAGGATTCTCCACGCAACGGGGGACTACCTCGTCCTTAGGGAGAACAACATAATTTTTGGATGGACAGGGGCCTTGCCTGTAGGCTTCGTGGCAGGAGTCAGTCAGTGGGAAGTACAGAAATCGTGGCCTACAGTCACACACCCAGGCATCCTTCGAACCACTGCCTGGATAGAGAAGCATGTTTTTCGGGCAACTGTCCGGTATCGACACGGGTATACGATCCGTTATTGTCTACGAGGATGAGTACACATGAAAAAATGGCTCTTCATAATTTTTCATATTAATATTATATTACCGTGGAATTGCCACCGCTAACATGGGACGTTTCTTCGTCAGTCGGGAATACCAAATCCTGGCCCCATATTATGTAGTTATACATGAAAAACACAATTCCGACGTATAGACACTTCATTCTCGCGCGCGAAACGAGACTGCCGTTAAGAGTGGAAGTATAGATATATAGAAACTTGATGTAGATGGGGGATACCAGGGGAATTCCAGAAATAGTTGCATATATTTATCTCTTTAAGGTCATTCGGACAACGGTACTAACATCGAGCCGCTTCGGACTTTTCTCATTTTAGTGATAAACTAAACACGAGGAGTATCAGATATGATGATATCTTAAAAATATATCTTAATACGTATATCTTAAAAAGAATTATTGCGCTCGATTACAAATTATAAACAGCATCACCAAGATCATTTTAAAAATTGCAGTCTTATTAATATTTTTAATATTAATAAAGTAATTAAATAATTGAAATTTGGCATAAAATACGAACAGTTAATCTTGTCGATAAATTCAAGAATTTATATTAAGAAATTTCTATTTTTTAAAAAATTTGAACTAAAAAGTGTATGTAAATTCTTTCTTTATATGTTCAAAAAAATTGTGATAATATACTTATTTCTAATAAATATTATTCTAATAAATTATTTCTAATAAAATGGATGGAATAATTATAATTTTCCTCTTTATATATAATGAATTATTTATTTTAATATTTTAAACAGTTATATAAATCGGCGATTTTATGTATAATTGTAATATTTTTATAAAATTAAGTTAAACGGAAATCTATTTGTATAAAAGATTATTGTAGAAGTTATTATTTAATTATCCACAACTTATTTTTATGTACCACAGTATAAAATGCAGAAAATAAATTTGAGCATTAAATGAATCGTAGAGATCTCAAGTTTTTAACAAGTCTTATTCATTCTTTAAGTAATGTAATTCTTGCACATTTCTATATATTAAAAGAATACTGATTCAATAAAATTTTCCTAAACTAATTTAAGATTTAATGATTTAAAATAACAACACGCACAATGTATGAATATTCTAAACGCATCTGATAAATATTGATACTTTTTTCTTAAAGCAATTAATAATATAAATGAGAATGCACACAAAATTTCCGATACTATTCGGAAATTAATAATCTCGAATATTAGCAAATTTCGACAAGTTTTAGCGCGATTTTTTAATTAATGATATTTTGAACATACACTTTACAGATTTATCGATCTTTAGAAAGATTTAAGGAATCTCCTATATCAGCCGATTGTGACGATTGTTGCTTTTTATGCAATGATGTCATGTCCAGCATGCTCCCAAAATCAGATTTAACGCTTGATATTGTTAGATCCTCCGTTCCCTGATAATCCGGCCTGCCGATCTTCGTGGAGTCAGTTTGCACGTCCAATTTCTTTCGATCGTTATAATCCTCGACGCCCACCGAGAAGTTTCTGCAGGCCTCCGATGAGCTGACGGCAGTCTTGAAGGGCGAAGGAATCGCATCGACACTGACGAAATCGCTTGGCTTGCGTTCGTTACCGTCCATATCCTTCGCTGGTGAGATCTTACCGAGGGGACCGAACAGATTTGCGATGTTGCGCATATACGTGGACGGTGAGGGCGAGGTAGTCCGCGTGAAGTCCGCGATTGAGAAGCTCGACAGTTTTGCCAAATCGGTGGTGGGAAAATTTGCCAGCTTCGTCAGATCCGAGAACTTTGTGATTTGTTGAGTGATATCCGCTAGCGGGAAATCGGGATTCGTAGACGTTCGTGTCTTGCTGCCGTCGCCGATCAGTGGGTTCGATAACTTCGAGAAATCCGCGGGCGAGAAATCATAATCGCACTTCGCATTCTTCACCGATACCGTAAGTTCGCCCGATTGGAAACTCGGTATTATCTCCGATGGCGATATATGTTTGGAGCCTACGATAGGACTGCCGTCTTTAATCTGAGTGATAGACGCGGTGTCGTTAGACCCTATGCTGCTATCTTTCTTGATATTGTCCCGGGAAGTCGATGGTTGTAATACGAACGGCTTAGATGTGGGAGTAATTATGGCACCGCCATCAGGTTTAAAGTTGACTGGCGTGAGAAAAACAGCGGCGTTACCAGCTGTGAGACTCACGCCAGGCGGAACTGGTGGTCCCAGCGATTCCGAGGCAGGTACCAAAGGGAATTTCATGGCCAGAAATTCGGGTGCACTACCGTCCTCGGAACCTGGACAGATCATCTCTCTAATCACATCCCAATATGATCCGTTTGATCTGTTTCTACCAGGTAATTTCGACGCCAAAGAACACTGTTGACATTTGAATTATTATGTATGTGATTAACAAGAGTTCAATGATTTGTCATTAACTTATAATATGCTTACCCTTAATCGTTCGAGATATGTTGTATTACCGTTAAAATTGGCAGTAAAGTCAATGCCACCCTCGCTCTTATAATATTCTATACATCTTCTCTACAAGAGTAAATGATATAAATATTAGTAACATGATAAGATCTTTTTTTATAGAACTTAATCATTTCACTTCCAAACTTTTACATGTACAACTTTTATATGTTCTTGCTAAATTTTAATTTATGTATGAAATACTTACAATTTCCTCCAATGTATCTTGAGACAAAAAATGCTCCTGTGATAAAGTATAACTAAGAAGCATAGGTCGAGGATACTCATGAGGTCTGTTTTCGGGTGGCGGCAGAGACCAGAAAACATTAAAATTTGACTCGTAACAGTTGCCATCCATGTTGTAAGGTGCTGCAAAATATAATGATGATCATAGAAATTCTATACATAACAAGGGGTTTGAAATACTCACAGCATATCAGTCCTACACATGGTATATATCCATTATCACTAGGTCCTTTCATCTTGATTTGATAATCTAATTGGGAATCTACATCTCTCAAGGAAGGTGATGCGTGAGATCGTGGATGTGAATGATACCAGCCTACCAATGTAACGCGTTTCCATTCCATGGCTCTAGCAATTTCAGCTTCCACAGCAGCTGCAGCTGACTTGTCTTTGCCAGAATACCGGCATGGAAATGCACATGTTATAGAAAGATCTAAAATAAGACACATCAACCTCAATGAATCAATGTTTCAATCATATATAGCACAAAATAATTATATACATCATGTAATTAATGATTGCAATATGACACGTACTATGTGAATTAATATCCCAGTGTCCACCCAAATATCCACAGACTTCCTTGTCTGTTAGGTGACAGTGCAGGTCTACTAACAGAGCTGCAGTAGTAGTGATGGTCACCAGAAAGGGCTGTATCTTTCCCAACGTGCTAAATGATGTGAGTTCTACCATCGTACTCATATCCCTACAAAAATATCATTAAACTTTTATATGAACATTCATAAAAATAATCTTCTATGATAGCCTACATGGCATGACTTCGTATTCCCAAATTGGCATGTTTCACTGGAACCCGCACTATCTGTACCGGAGGATTGACTTGGATCTTTTCGCCACTCTCCTCCGCAGTCTCGGTCGATACTATTTCCATGATTCCACTATACTTCCAAAGACTAAACGACGGAAACGCGATACAGCGTCAAAAAGTCTGCATATGTCCTCTTACTCTTTTTTTTCGCCCTCTCTTATACTAATTACATACGTCGAGGAAACGGCACTTGTCTCATTAAAACATTTGCATCGTCACGCCGTTCTTCTTTAGAGAATTGTGACTGCAGTCTTTCTGTAATCAGCGTATAAATAAATCTTTCCGGTAAGTCGACAAGACGCCTCGCGTCGCATAGCACATCAACGTCAGCGTTATCGCGTTCTTACCTAGCTTAACCTGACTCGAGAAAGCAAGCGTGTTGACATATAACCTCAGGGTTGAAGACACATAGTCGGGAGCTCCCGACGTCCTCCAACCGGGGGAAAAAAAAAAAAAAAAAAAGACAAGCGTGTTGACAGAAGTTTATTCCTCTCAGCTGCACGCTGTTGCACTTTCTACACCTTAATTCGATGACGGATTTAAATCGTTTTCAATGCAATCGCTCGTGATTGGCGAATCGACTTTCGGATTGACCAATCAGCTTCGCTCCTTCGAGCGCGACGACCACGCTGCGCGGCATCGTCGTCGGCGTCCATTGCTACTCTGCTCACGATCGTTCGTGGGGTTTGTGCTCCGCTCAACAAACACAAAAATGGCGATGGCGACGAGTCAAGTCAAAGGCAGCGGGTGGCCGCGGAGGGCGAGCAACAGTTCATTCGAGGGCAAGGTTGTGCAGAATCAGTCGGTTACTATCAACAGGACCGTCAATTTGTAAGTGGCGTGACGTGACGCGCGTATCTACATAAAATTAGTCTTGTGTTTCTGACCGCTTCTCTTCTGTAGACTCACGACCGGTCTCGGCGGACGCGCGATCAGCCAATCCGATATATTACGCTTCGTTTAAAAGAGAAAAAGAGAAGAAA